CCAGCATTGCCCAGCCAGCATGCTTGGACTTCAACTCCCAGAATTGCCCAGCCAGGATGCTTTAAGATGGCTGGACTTTGACTCCCAGAATTCCCCAGCTGGCATGATTTAAGATGGCTAGACTCCAGGTCCCAGAATTCCTCATGCTTTAAGATGGGTGGACTTCAACTCCCAGAAATCCTCAGTTAGAATGGCTTAAGGTGGATGGACTTCAGCTCCCAGAATTCCCTAGGTAGCACGCTTTAAGACAGACTCTTGACTTCCCAAATTCTCTAACCAGCAGGCTTTAAGATGGGAGGACTTCAACTCCCAGAATTCCCCAGCTAGCACGCTTTAAGAGGGGTAGACTTTGACTTCCCAAATTCCCTAACCAGCAGGCTTTTTACAACTCCCAGATTTCCCCCAGGCAATATGTTTTAAGATGTCTAGACTTCAAATCCCAGAATTCCTCATGCTTTAATTTGAATGGACTTCAACTCCCAGAACTCCCCAGCCGGCAGGCTTTTAAGAGGGGTGGGCTTGCATTCCCACTGCTGGCTGGGGAATTCTGGGAGTTGAAGTCCACCCCTCTTAAAAGTGGCCAAGACTGAGAAACACACCTCCTAGCTTAAAAGACCTTAAACAAAAGCCTTTAGCACTGCTTGAGCTGGGATTGTAAAGCCAAACCTCTTTGAACAGACGCAGTCTATCCCCAAATTGGGTGGGTGGGTGGGTGGGTGGGAAACAGCCCACGATACCTAGCTGGGTAGTGTCTAGAGAGAGAGGGGGGAAAAAGGCTGGCCCAGGTAAAGCAACCTTCATTTTGGCACATCTGCTCAGTCTGGAAAACTGCGCCGGAAAACCCACCTCTGGGATCAGCCAGATTACTTCTCACAGTGTTGTGTTTGTGTGTGTGTGTGTGTGTGTCTTTTTTTGCACCACAGTGAAGCTGTCCCTGCTTTGCCTGCAACCTGTTCCACCCTCCCCCCCTGCTGTTTCAGGAGGCCAGGCTTGGGGAAAGGCGCCAGAAAAGGAAGTGGGGGGAGAACCAGTCCTCCTCCCCTAACAGGTGTTGGGGAGGGGGGCCCAAACCCCACAGAGAGGGAGGCAGCAGCTGTTTTGCAGCTGCTGGGAAAGAGATAGGAAGGACTAGCATCCTCTCTGGGGAGTTTAAGGGGAGGGGCAACGGGGAAGAAAAACTGGCCACTGCCAATAAGCTGGCTGCAGAAAATATATATATATATATATATTTTGAAATAAAGACCTACCTCTGTGGGCTTGTAGCAATCGACCAGAAGTTCCTGCAACGGGATGAAAAAAAACAACAACAGAAAAACTCAGAGAAACTCCTGTGCTTATTTTAAAGCTTGTCATCTTAGATCTCCAGCCAAGCCTCAGGGGTGGAGAGCTGTGATTTCTTAAAAACCCCTCTTTATTTGAATTACGATTCTTTTGGTTAAGCTGGTTAAGTATCGCAGCTGGGGCTTACACGTCTCGCTTTTGGGCCGTTGCTTGGAGGGTCTTGTTACGGCCCTGGGGTTAGTGGCAATGAAACCCACACGCGCACGTCCCTTCTCAAGCCCTTCTTGTAACTTTTGGGTAGAGGCAATGAGACACACACGCACAACCTTCCAGTAACTTTTGAGTAGAGACAGCGGGACAGGCACACCTTTCAAGGTCTTTTTGTAACTCTTTTGTGTAGAGACGACGAGAACACACACGCACACCCCGTTTCAAGCCCCTCTTGTAACTTGTGTGTCCCTGTGTGCGCAAAAGAGACGCTTCTCTTCTCGTCCTTTTTTACCTTCACCCTGGCGCTCCGCGATTCGTCGCTCTCCATGTCCAACAGTTCATCCACATCTATTTCTAATTCAGGGATTTCTTCTTCCTGCAAGAAAAAAAGGAAGGGGAAAGCCAAGTTTTACGCCTTATTCCTCTTGCTGGGATCAGTAAATTGGGAGAAATTGCTTAGGGAGGGGAGCAAAGGGTGGGAACACATCGCCTTGCCAATCCAAGCCATCCGATCAAAAACCAGATTCCTACCCCTTGTGCTGAGCTAGGAAGACTTCAGTTGCTCTTTGTACTCAAGTCTGGCACCTTGGGGGAACCTCTCCCCCAACCCTGCAATTTAAATCTCTCCCTTGTTGAGGAAGGGGTTCAGGGCCGACCCTCCCCACCTCCCCCCCAAAAAACAGAGTATTTTGCAGATAGGATCATTCTGTGCATCTTCCTGTTTGTGGCATAAATGCCCAGCCATTATTTCAGCCCCATTGGGATGTCCTGCAAAGACATCCAAGGGAGGGAGGAAAGGAAAGAGAAAAGGGAGGAGAGGAGAG